ACTAGCGTCTCCTTATTCAGGACAGCTTTGGTTCTACAGGGCAGAATAACAGACTCCGCCTTTTCCTTCACCTTCACCTCAGTGAGGCTGTCTGAAGGAAAAAAACACAATATAAAAATTCACATACTGGTAACATCTACTCTAACATCTATATTTTCTTTAAAGCAAACATCTGGCCAGCTGATTGTAAGCCATGAAGGGTGGAGTAAATCCAGAGAGGAGATAGTTGGAGCTGATAGTTAAGCTTCAAAGGAAAGAACCTGTTTTTTGTATCTGCACCAGAGGAACTAGATGGATTCAGTTCACTTTAGTTTATTTCTATTGCTCAGTTTCACAACACCTTCATTTCAGGTCATTTTCTAGGTGTGTAACCACATGCTGGGGCGGCCATTTTCTGAGTCTTAACACCTATTGTGTGGAAATTTGAAGTCCAAACTCCTCTTTGTCATAGGATAGGAGCAGCCATTTTAAGAGTTTCATAGCCTAAGATAAGCTCACATTTGTAGTCCAACCCTTCCCTTTAAGCCACCCTCTTTGCTAGGGGTCAGCCATCTTGTTTCATGTTTTCCCATCGTAGCAACAAGGTCTGAACTGCTTCCTGAAGCGGTCCGGTAAGATCACGGTACAGAGGCTTTGAAGGTCAGGAATTTTGGCCCCGCCCCTAAATGAATCGCGCTTTGACACACGCAAAGGGGAAACTCCCCCTCCATTTTTTATCTCATCTCATATCATCACTACTTGCTGGGTTAGATGAATGTAGGTTTGCCGACGTGCTCCAATGCTGTATTGTTAATACATTTGTAAAGATTAAACATTTTAAGCTGAATGAATTCATATTATTTTTAAATTATTGCTCACAATATCTGCTGCTATTTTTAACGGACATCATTGAATGTATTGACATTTGGCCACTGAATATTTGGCCTTGGCCAACCCCAGAAGCCATTTACATGGACTCCTAGCACCCCTTCATTTAATCTACCTCATGTTTTATTTTCTAGCTGCGTGTAGTGTTTGCATTTCCTATAATCTTATAATCTTGTTAGAAATAAAGACGTCATTATTTTAACCCGTGGTAGTTTGTGTTTATTGTACAGTGAGTGGTTTATCACTCAGGCCAGATTGACCCTTCTTTTGGTGAAATTTGAATAAACAGAGACAAATTAGCAGAGTATAGTTATAATTATTCAACTAAGAACATTTGATTGGTTTTACCCTCAATTTTGAATGATTTATCATTTAACGATAACTCCAAGTCTGGTGAATTGTATATTCATAATATACAGGTAAAATATCACAACACCAGTTATTTCTGAATTTGCTGAAAATATTAAGTCTAATCTGCTTTGCTCACCTTTGACCTCCAGCTGAACCTGTGCCAGTTTTAGTTCTACTCTTCCATCAGAGATGGTGCAGGTGTAGTTTCCACTATCAGACAGTTGAGGTTTTCTCAGAGTGAGCCGGAAGTTTCCGGTATCTAGAAAGTCAGGATTCATTGAGGTCCGTTTTCTGTACAGCTGGTTTTGGTCTGAAGGATCAGCTCCTTCTTCTCTTTGTCGGTGGATGATTTTAGGGTTGAGATCATTTCGAGTCCATAAAACTGAGGGGTTGACTTCAGGTATATCACCGGAGTACTGGTAGGGCAGCTGGACAGACTCCGCCCCTTCATGCACCTCTACTATCCCAGCCAGGGAATGATGGGAAACTGTGGAAAAACAAACACAAAATGTGATCAGGACAGCCCTGAAGAACTGTAGTTATCCCAGATGAGCTTTTCTAAAAAAAACAACAAGAGGTCTGCTGAGAAAGAAGAAAACAGAGGAAGGAACATTCCAGATGTTGCTGGAGACTCTGAAAATCCCAGATCCCTGTGAACTTCAAACCTAGCAAAATGAAAACTAAGACAAAAACTGGTTCAACCCAAAGACAAAACAGCCAGAAACAAAACCGACAACGTGTTTTTGAGCCTTTAGAATGAAAATATCTGGCTGGCTTGCCAAATATGGAAGCAGA